CAGGTCAATTTAATTCAAATGGTTTTCTACTACTTCCATGTCCATCTACTAAGCACTTCAAATAAATAACATCAAACAAATCAATTTATTGAAATATGCCCAATTATCATCACCGAAACTCAGAATCACGCAAGAGAATAAGGATATCTTTAGCACAAACCTAAGGCACAGAGCTCCTCATATGCAGCCCACAATAAAGGATCTGTTGACAGAGCTTGCTTGAAGTGATGGATGGCACCTCTCTTTCTATCAGTATATCTATGAGACGCAAACATAGAAAGGTAAGGAACTTTCTGTTTATGCGAAAACAGATTAACTAGCAAGAACACCATATTCTCTCACAATACTTTAGTCAGGCAAAGATTATGCCGTGTCTACACTTATAAAGCCAACAATGAAGAATGCAATCTTGAACCATTTCCACACCAATGAAACATGGATAACCTAGAAAAAAGCACCAGCATTTGCTAATTGGATTACACTGACCATAGATCATATAACAAATCTAGCATTTGCTAAGACTTATAGCTCCCAATCGTGAAAACTATGTAAGCTACATCTAGACATACAGAAGTTGGGCTTTGCCATGCTACAAACAGTGTAAAGAATTCTGAGAATGGAGCGAAAAATGGGAAATGGAAGAGCTAAAACATCATGCTAAATTGTTCAAGGGTAAAGCTTTTCCTTCCACCACTAGCTTATTTGCGTTAGTACGATTACAATTTTAATTTTGTAGACTGGACAAAATGTGCATGGCTATTTCCTTTTTGTTTTGAATAAGAGAGTACATCCTCTTACCTTTTCTTCCTTACAGGAAAGCAACAGTTACTATCTCACTTTCCTCCTAAACGGATGGCTGCATCTTACTGCCCTCTTTTTTGGCCAAATACATTTTACTGTCCTTGAAAATGCAAATTTTTAATGCAGTTCTTGATTCCCTCCCCTCCTTCTTTAAAAAGAAAAGGAAACACATCATAGGAAAAAAATGATGAAAGTATAGCAGCCTAACCTTATACTACATCTTGCTTCATTTTTTAAAAGAAAGCCCGTGACAATAAGTAACAAAAGGGAGAGTGATTCACAACCTTCAAGAATGAAGGAGGCTGTGTGAATCATTTATTGTTGCATGTAATTGAACCAGACTGATCTAGACTATAGTTTTTCAATCTTTCAAGGGGGAGAGAGACTGATTCACAAAAGGGGGGTTGCAACGTGAAGTTGGTGCTTGGAGAGATGCCATTAATTCTTCTGTCAGAAACAAGGAAGTTACTCAGATGGCTCCTCTACTTGTGTTTTAGCTCATTGGAAGAAAAGAAACAAGATGATATTTCAAGGAGTTAATTTCATGGTTTTCTTTTATGAATAATTAGTAATATAATAGTCATTTTTGCTATGTTGGGGACGTTTGATTTCATACTTCTAGTTTGTTGGAAATGTTAGAAACAAACTTTGGCGCATAACTTTTGTATTTGGGAGGCTCCCCCTCTGAAGTCGTTTTGTAATGGGCCAGTACCCCTTGGTACCTCTTCAATAGAGTTTTCCTTATCTCTGACGAACATGGTAATTTCAGAGAAAGAGATTCTCAAACTATTTTTGCTTATTTCACCTCTGTCCACATTTTAGATATGACATAGCATCTATATCACCAACTACAAAAAAGAGAAACCATTTTAATTACTCCCGATAGACAACGTATACAAGAAGGATGCTATCAGGATGATTCTGCAAAAAATGCAATAACAACCTGTAGATAAGGCCAAGAAGGTAGTGACCAGCAGCACCATTTGGAACCTGCTCGCAGCACAGAACAGCAATTAGCAAATGACCACATCCATCAAACCAAGACATAAGCAATACGAGTTCTGTCAAACAACATGAGGTTAGACCGATATAAACCACACGCAATGAGATTTAAACTACTATGAAATAAATCGAGACCACCGGCTTCATTTGCATAGGCAGGTCACATACCTCTGCCCCGGGCTCATTGGCAGGGCATAATGCTGACTCGGCCTCTTTGAGCAGATCCATCTGAAAACACGATATTGCAAACAAGTAGCGTGATTGAGGCATCTGTGTCCCTTCACATAAAGAATACTTCAATCAATCAGGGAAACAAATACCCAAGAAACTTTACAGAAGGAACCCAGTAGAGAAGAAGGGGTGGAGGGGCGTGACCCCAGGATAAATGAGTAATTCAGCAAAAACACAAAATTATCAGCGAAACAATGAAGACACAGGAGACCAGCCCTACCCTTCAGAATATGGTAAGCACAGTAAGCTTGATTGTTGTGCAGGTAGCAACCAGCTAACAATTGCCGATTCACCTGAAAGCAACCGAACGACCCAGAACTCAACTTCAACATAACATATAAAAAAAGGAATACAGAACATGCTAAAAAAAACAGAAATTCATAAATCCGAAGCTTCATAAACCGATATGTCCGAACCCAACGGCCGCTAAAGCGAAAAACCCACAGAAAACGAAAGCGCCAGGGAAGCGTCCAAATCACCAGCGCACTAAAAGAGGAGCTAGCAGTGCAATCGCATAATCACAACAGTAAAAGTTCGCTCCACTGAGAGCAAAAGCTAGACATCGAATTCGAGAAGCACGGGGGACTGCAGGGAGTGAGATTGGACACTGATGGAGCGAAAAGAAGTCGCACCCAAATCTACCGGAAGAGAGAGAGAGATTGGAAACGGACGACGGAATCCTCAGCACGCATCGCACCACGGCAACCAACGCAAAAAGAGACGCACTCGATTCGACGCTCGAGCTCCTTCGGCGAAACAATTCAGAAGAAGAATCGGTGAAAACTAACCTCGGAAGGGAACTCGGCGCACAGGCGCTCGCACATGAAGATGGCGTTCCGGTACATGAAGTGCCGCAGGCTGTTCTGCACGCAGTCCGCCAGCATCGCTTCCATGGCTGCCTTCGCTTCGCTTCGCTTCGCTTCGCGAGAGAGGGAGGGAGGGAGAGAGAGAGGGATGGCGCTGGGGGCTTCTTGCTTGCTCTCTAGCAGGTTCAAAAATTTGCGCCGCACGTGCCGTCCCCTGTTTCGAACGACTGCGGTCACGTGACATGGTTTGTTTTTTTTTTATTCATCGCGGTTCGGTTTCGGGCGGGCGGGCGGGCGGGCCCCAGATGGGAGTTTCATTCGAAAAAGCAAGCTGCGGAGTCTAGAAGTAGAACCCAACGGGTAACCCATTCGATCGAGCCGTTTTATTACCCGTCACGCGATGCGACAACTAATGTGTTGTCGGAAATTTCGGGACGTAAAAAATCCGACTTTTCTTTTCTCTGGAAAAGATCATTTTAATCTCTGTTTTGCGGCGGTGGCGTCATGGACCGATGAAGCTCGTCGTGGGCTCGGGGCGGCGGTGCGGTGGAGACATGTGTCACAATCAAGAGTCCACCGTGCCCATCTGATCGAGAAAGTAGGCCAAGGTAGCCCATGACTTCAGGCATGTTATTCCATAATATTTCTGTATCTAAAGTTTTCTAAGGGACTCGAGAATGTTTAAAGGGTATTATGTGAAATGTATGCTTGTCGTTGATAGGTAGGTGCTGGGAATCATTTAAAAATTAGGTACCATCTCCTCATTTGTACCATATAAGCATCTGAGCAATATGGCTAGGGGTGTAAATGGGTCGGGTTGGGTTTTAATGATACCCTACTCGACCCAAAACTCATAGGGTCATACTTGACCCGCCCAAACCCACCCCAAGACCCTGTTCAGCATACACCCCAAGGGTCGGGCCGGGCCGAGTCAGGTTGGGTTGGGTCGGAGGTTGGTTGGTTTTTTTTTTCTTTTTTTTTTAGATAGATGACAAATGACTTGGCATTTCGTTTGTTAATCCCCTTGAGCAACAGGTTCTCGGCGTCATAATTCTTGTAAAGCTTATGTTTTCTCCCCTTGCAGGTTTAATACCTTCCTTTCACTAAAACCTTTTTGTAGGGGCAAAAAATTTCTAATTCATAGAAAAGACCACATCAAGCGAATCCCAAGGGAAGAAAATGACATAAATGCGGGTAAATAGCAAAACATAACACAGTGCAATGGGCTAAGCAAACAAAGTTACAAACACTAGATAAAGCATAATGAGGATGAGCAAGCACAGAAGCCTAATAGAGTTCGTAGTGTTAAAATAAAACGCTTAGCAACAAGAAATGCGGGTAAATAGCAAAACATAACGTAGTATCAAAGTGGCACAACAACTACTCTCTCGCATGAAGAGCCTTTCTCTATCACCTGGATAGCTTTGCCCTAAACCCTGTTTTCCTCCCAAAATCCCAAGAATCCATATCCACAACAATACCATAGTTGGTTTCTACTCCCTACCCTTACACCTTTCCAAAACCCTTAACTTCTCTGTTTCCCATTCTAAATGACGACACTTAGATCCAAAATCCCGACTTTGAAGAAAGAGGCGCAACCATAGCACAAAGGCCGCGGGTTTCCAGGTGCAGTCGTTGGTTTATTAGTTCCCTCCTCTGGCGCCACTCCTTCCCAGAAGTCCACAGCCACTGTTAACCTTTTTTTCAAGGTTCAAAAGCAAAAGAAATGGCGTAGAAGAAACCCACGATGGGTGATAGTTGTATCCAGAATGGGTCCTTGTCCTTCTTCTGGTAGGTTCCCTTCTCCTCTAGATGGTTCCTCTTTTTGGGTCCCTAAGGAAGAAACACAACCGAAACAAATCGCAAGTTAGGGGCTTTAGGTTGCCTGAGTAATAGATATCTAACAATATGGGAGAAAATAGAGAATGGGAGCTAAGGATGGCGGCATTGTGTAGAAGACTAGGACATCTCTGGACAGGAAGAAAAATCGCTGTGTTAGATAATGTGGTTACTGAGGATAAACTGCAAGAGTGTGAACGTACTGTTTTCGGCAAGCTTTTTGGAAGCATGTCTGTTAATTTCCAAGCCTTCCAAGCCACGATGAGGAAAGCATGGAAATCGAATTCTGTCATTTGCAAGCATCTACAGCCAGGTCTATTTTCATTTGAGTTTGAGTCAGTGGAGGTGAGAAACAAAATACTGAACTCTGGACCTTGGTCCTTCTCAAGTCATTTGCTGGTATTAAAGCTATGGGAGCCAAGTATGCCTCCACATTGTATTATATTCGACTCCTCTACCTTTTGGGTTCAAATTCATGGATTACCTATAGAAGGGAGGTCTGAAGCAGCAATAAGAGAAATAACAGGAAATGTAGGTGAAGTTTCAGAAGTGTGCATAGAAACAAAAGGCTTTGCATCCATAGTGGTGGGGAGAGCTAGAGTTATGTTAAAATTATCAAATCCCCTTTCCTCAGGCATGCTTTCTAGTTTTAGAGGCAAGGAGCATTGGTTGGACTTTAGGTATGAAAGACTTCCCCATTTCTGCTATTCATGTGGGGTTATTGGACATTATGCAAAAAACTGTCAACTTGTGCCTTATGAGGTCGAACTCATGTCCAAAACTGAAACACTGCTATACGGGCCCTGGCTAAAAGCTGAAGAGAATTCTATTAGCCCATTTTGGACAGCCTATTATGGGGAAATCTATGAAGTGGAAGATGAGCAGGAGATGGTACTGGAAACCCCAGAAAATTCAGGATTGATCACAGTGGCGCAGAATAAAGAAGGTGGCTCGCATACACGACCACACAATATACAAAAGGATAGGGGTAAGAGGAAATTAACGGAAAAGGAGTTGCTGGCTATAGTGCACATACCAGAAATCGAAGTAGATGCTGATCTTGAATTAGCCTCTCCACTGCAGATAGACATATCCCCATCGCTGATAGCAGGTGAAAGACTGCAAAGCAACTGTAGAAAGCTGAAGGCAAGGAATCATAAGAAGAGCAGAAGATTCGGACCGTATGATCAAAAAACCTCGGATGGCCAAGTGCTAGATGAAACACAGCTTTTAGAAACTCCGGTGCAACTTGCAAAAGAACCCAATCAATGGGCTTTGGTGGCTAGCCCTAATAAGCCACCGGGTTACATATGAAGCTATTCTGTTGGAACTGTCAGGGGTTGGGCACACCCTTGACAGTTCAAGCTTTAAGGGCCATTATAGCCCAGGAAAGGCCCGAGGTGGTTTTTTTTATGGAGACCAAGAACCAAGATTTTACAGTTCGCCGTATCAGCAGGAATTTAAACTTTCAAAACTGCTATATTGTCAATCCGGTAGGGATTGGGGGGGGGGGGGGGGGCTTAGCTCTGATGTGGAAGGATGGAATTTCTTTGAAAGTTAATCTTTCCACAAATGAGTTCATTGATATTACTCTTCAAGACGATGAAGTGGGTAAACAATTCAGAGCTACCTTTATTCATGCCCCAACATCGTTCCAGGATAAAATTAAATTTTGGGAAGAGGTGAAGATGCTGAGTAGCCAAAACACCTTGCCTTGGGTGTGTATAGGGGACTACAATGACATTTTGAATTACTAGGAAAAGCTAGGGAAGAGGCCTCCGGAACAACATAGACTAAATGCATTTAGAGATTTCGTCAATGCTTGTAGTTTAATGGATTTAGAGAGTGAAGGATGCGCATTCACTTGGGTGAACAATCGAGAAGGGCAGGATTTTGTTAAAGAAAGACTAGATAGGGCGGTTTGCAATATTGAGTGGAGAATATCATTCCCTCAAGCTGAGGTTTTCGTTCTACCAGCCATCGGATCTAATCACAGCCCTATATTACTGACATTAGCAGCCGAACCTCCTAGGAGTAAGAGAACATTCAAATTTGAAGCATTCTGGTTGGAACATGAGGATTGTGGGAGGATAATCACACAAATCTGGAAATCAAGATAGATTACAACACTCTAATCTAGTGCAGAAAATACAGGAAGTTTCAAGGGGATTGGCAGCTTGGAGCAGGAACACTTTTCAGAACAGCCACAAGAAGATTAAAGAGTTGCAAGAAGAACTCATGCGCATAACAAATGATTACAATCTGCACAATAGTCAAAACAAAAGGAAGGCCATTACTGAACAGATCGAAACACTGTGGAGACAGGAGGAAATGTATTGGGGAATGAGATCCCGAATCAATTGGCTGAAATGGGGTGATAAGAACACAAAATACTTTCACGCCACAACGATTCAAAGACGACAGAGGAACAGAATATCGATGCTAAAAAATGCAGAAAACATATGGATTCGTGATCTGGAGAGGTTAAAAGAAATGACAGGGGACTTCTTTCAAAAGCTTTATCATTCGGAGGGCCCCCGACAATTTGAACCTGTTTTGCAACAGTGCTCTACTATTGTCACGACTGAGATGAACCAATATTTGACAGCTCAGGTCACAATGGAAGAGGTCCATACAACATCATTTCAATTAGGCTCATTGAAGGCACCGGGACCGGATGGATTGAATCGCCAATTTTACCAAAGAAATTGGGAAAGCTTAAAAAATGGGATTTTTGAAGAAGTGAAGGAATTTTTTCATTATGGAAATCTAAACCCAGAACTGAACAGAACATATATCACTTTGATCCCAAAAGTTCATCACCCGGAAAGCCTTGATCAGTTCAGACCTATCAGCCTTTGCAACTTCGCATACAAAATTATCTCCAAAATCATGGCAAATAGATTGAAGCAGTGGTTGCCAGCGATAATAGAAGGAGAACAAAGTGCGTTTGTGGCCGGTAGACAAATACAAGACAACATTCTGATTGTTCAGGAAGTCCTTCACCAATTGCGTATCAGAAAAAGGAAAAAAAGATTCCAGGCAGTAGTAAAACTTGATATGAAGAAAGCCTATGACAGGGTAGAGTGGGACTTTCTTGAGGCTACTATGTTGAAAATGGGGTTCTGTAACTGGTGGGTGCAGAGAGTAATGAAATGTGTCACTTCTGTCTCTTTCAGTGTTAAATTAAATGGAGAACCACAACCCTATTTTCAGCCTACTCGGGGGATAAGACAAGGGGATCCCATTTCTCCCTATTTGTTCATCATAGTAGCAAACACACTCTCCACATTGATGAAAAAAGCAATTCAAGATGGAACTCTCTCTGGCATTCAACTCAATAGGCATTGTCCAGTCCTATCTCACCTCCTTTTTGCTGATGATTCGATCTTCTTCTTAGGTGGCAAGCTCATTGAATATCAAAATCTTGCACTAATCCTCAATCAATATTGCTATGCATCTGGGCAAGCCATTAATTTGAACAAGTCTGGAATCTCCTTTAGCATATGCTGTCTGCAGAGTTTAAGAGACAATATGGCAATTGAACTTAGAATCCCAGAGATTCGGAAGATTGGCAAGTATTTAGGGATTCCATCAGATTGGGGTGACTCCAAGAAACAAATGTTTGCGTGGATTTTAGCCAGAGTCAATATGAAATTAGAAGGGTGGAAGGAAAAATTCATCTCAAAGGCAGGGAAGGAAACCCTAATCAAAACTGTTGTTCAAGCTCTTCCTCAATATGCCATGTCGGTATTCAAGATCCCGGTCTCAATTTGTAAATCCATAGAAAGAAAGGTGGCAAGTTTTTGGTGGAAGAATAGCGAATCAAAGAAAGGCCTTCACTGGAAGAGATGGGAAGTGCTCAAAACCAGGAAAGATCAAGGGGGATTGGGATTTAGAGACCTAATATCCTTCAATAGAGCAATGCTAGGCAAGCAAGCATGGAGACTCTCTCAAGACCAGTCATCCTTATGGAGCCAAATCCTTAAAGGCATCTACTTCCCCACAAGGTCTTTCTGGCGGGCTGGAAAGGGATCTCGGCCATCATGGGGATGGCAGAGTATTCTCAAGGGAAGAGATGCGATATCGAACTCAGCATTATGGGCTATTGGCACGGGGGAAAAATCAATATCCGAGAAGATAGGTGGCCAAAAAGAGGATTAATAGGAGGACAAGCAAACTCTCAAGAACCAGCCAAGGTTGCAAACCTAATCCGAGATGATAGAAAATGGGATGAAGATTTACTAGCAAGAATATTTGATGAATAGACTGTAAATGAAGTGCTAGCAATACCACTATGTAGTTATGCAACAGAGGACAAACTGGTGTGGACAGCTACAAAGTCGGGGGTCTTCTCGGTGAAAAATGCATACAACCAGATTCGTCAAGAGGAAAACACACAAAATGCAATGCAAGCATCATCATCTTTCAATCCACCCCGCAAGCTATGGTGCACAATATGGAATTTACAAGTCCACCCAAGGTCGGAATATTTTTGTGGAGTGTTTGCCAGAATGCTCTCCCCACAGCAGACAACCTCTATAAGAGAAAGATCTTACCTCGACCAGCATGCCCCTTCTGTGATCAAGAAGCTGAAATAGTAGAGCATCTCCTTCTCCTCTGCCCCTGGACCGAAGCCGTCTGGACAGATCCATCGGTACAGAACAGAATAGTACGTCAAGAACTATCAAGAATTGAGGTATGGATCCTTAATTATAAGCTACAACCAGATAAATTGCTGAATCTAGATGAGATGGCCATCCTGTTGTGGCTGATTTGGAAGGCAAGAAATGATTTTGTGTTTAGAGGAAAACCCCCAATTCCGAGTTCCATAATCGAGTCGGCAAGACATATATTGCAAAATTACAGGAAGTGGAACCATCAAAATGCTAGTCTGCGTGCAGAACAGGACCCTTTACTGCGTGCAGAACAGAACCCTTTACCTCTGTACTGGAAACCACCGAAGAGAAACTGCTTCACAATCAACATAGATGGATCTTACCTTGAAGATGCAGCAACAGGAGCAGTTTCTGGAATCCTCAGAAATGAAGCTGGATCTTTGCTGGACGGCTTCGCCAAGACAGTCCCTGCAATCTTGTCGCTGCACACCGAACTGCAAGCTTTGCTGCACGCCCTGTCTTTCCTCGATGATAGAAGATCGCAGGAAATTGTGATAGAAACAGACTGCCTTGAGGTAGTGAAGAAACTATACAGCCAGACAGAAGTCGGCTGGGAAGAGGAATGCTTTATTAAAGAAGCGCACCTTCGTATGGCCCATTTCACAAACCTAACTGTGGCCCATTGTAATCGATCCGCGAATCAAGCTGCTGATTGGGTCGCCAAGGCGCAACGGACAAATTCTCTATTTTCTTCTTGGCTAGCCCGTCCCCCTCAACCTTTATGGGAACTGTTATGTTTTGATGCCCCTTCGCCGGGTTGTAGTTTCATGAACACTTAATTTCCAATCAACTCGTATCTTTTTAGACCAAAAAAAAAAAGTGGCACAACTAGGAGCCTAGAACCTATCCACTCCTTCAATGTCTAATGCTAAACTACTCCCGTACAAAAACATTGACGAACAAAATCTTCAAAGAATAATGGATACCAAAAGTTTCGACAAACAAAATACAATCCACGTTTATCCAACTCAAGCCAACTAAACTCGATACAAAATTTTCTAAATACTTTTGATCCCAACACCTAACCAAGAGTCCCATGTTCACCTCTTCCCCATCCATATACCTACAAGGACACGTGCACAAAACACTATCAGTTTCACCACCTCAGGACCAAGTATCAAAAGATCCAAATGTCCCTATAAGACTTGACAATCACATACAAGCACATGTTGAAGCTAGATTCTGATGTGTGAGCATACATTGGCTATTCATGTACGTTCGACAGAGCTCTTCTCTACCTAGAGATAATTATATGGCGAAGATGATAATGAGATATCATTCATTGGTAAGCTTAAAGAAAACATTGAAAGCAAAGACAAAATAGCAAAAATATCATTAGTACGAACCAAAGTAAGACTAGTGAGCCACTGAAAAAGAACAGGTTGAGATCTAGGTTGAAGTGGCTCAAGTCAACTAGATCAAGGTAGAAGCTATATGGAGCTCCCACTTTTTCTTCCCTGGATACTACAAAACCAACAACCAAATTACAACTCATGAACAAATGAACTTGAAACACATTTCGGACAAAAATGCTCATGATCTAAAAAAAGGAAAAACGACCAACAAATGGCAATCTCCAACTTCATCAATCTTCTAGAGAAATCAATATCGACTTTGGCTCCATGGCTATAGTTGGCAACTCTGCATTAAATTCACGATGAAAATGAGAATTAACGTATTTATTGAAATATATAAGGGTATTAATATTCTAAAACCATATTTTTTCACCTGATTCAAAGATTTCGAGTTCTTCTAAGTCCTCTTCAATCGAATGTGAAAGTGGCACGGAACGTAACCAATCTTGAGCACATATAAGAGCCTCCACCATACTTGGGGTCAAGGAGCTACGAAACACATCAAGCACACGACCTTCTATGCTTAATGCTGCCTATGATGCTATAGTTAAGACGGGCACGGCCAAAATATCTCAAGCAATGGAAGAGAGGATAGGATATCTCGAAGAATTTATTTTCCATCAACTCAAGATATCAAACTCAGCACTATAACGTTCACATCCTTCCTCTAAATACTTGTCCAATTCACATTTTTCTTCCAAATATTGTTGTCTGGTTTGGCTAAAATACAATTAAGTCATAATGTCTGCACCAACCACAGGAGACATTGACACGTTCATTGTCCTTGTACCCTTTAACCTCAAGTTGCTTTGGGGGCATACACTAGTGCGGTATTGCTCGAATAATGACGTCAGAGATGTTAATACTTTATCTTGTAAAGTTTCCGTCTCCTTGCTTTCGTAAACATGATTGATCATCCACTTCACATATTCCCACTTATGCCGTGGGTCAAGCATGTAAGTAATGAACAAAGTAAGATTGATGTTGTTCACATTGCCAAAATACTTATTGAATTTAATCTTCATTCTCTTAGCCATTTCCTACAAACTCTAGTCCCCATTCTCACAACATCTATCAATCATTATATAAATCCCATACACATCCTTCGCCATATCATTATTAGTGACGTAAGAAGAACCCGAAACTTTTAAAGTTGTATCAAAAAGCATCTTCAGGAAAGGAAAAAGTGACGGGCATACTCTCAATCATCACTAGTGGGAAACCCTTTCGCCTTGGAAAGCTCTTCAACAAATTTGCTATCTCGAAATTCCAACGAGCTAAAAACTATTTGAAACTTCAAAGCTGCTTCCAACATCATGTATGTCGAGTTCCACCGAGTCTCGACATTCAAACATACAAGACTTTTTGGACTCAATTTTCTCTAGCTCAATATAGCCCTTAAACTGTCACGCGCCTGAGCCCCAGTCCTATCCACCAAGGCTCAGGTGCGTGACTTCCCTTCTTAGGTCATTTAATTGCGATGTCTCAGGAGACGTCGCCGACCCATCGTATTATTTAACAAATAAGCACATGCAGAAGCGAAATCCAAATCATCCAACCAACAACAATAGGGATAGCATGGGAAACATATTCACAAAAGCATGCTTTATATATATGTATTAACGATCCACATCGGAAGCAAGGATAATTACATGCCCACTACATGGGCCATTTTCCTATTACATCACAAAAAGGAGAGGAGGTCGGGATCTACTTAGCTTCTCTATCTACGAAGGCTACCTAAAAAAGAACATGGCTTCCTCCACGTTCGAGCATACAATGGCTCAGGTTCGGGGTTGTTGTCCGGATCCGACTCCGAATCACTGATGACATCATCAGGGACGTTTGACATCACAGGGGCACCCGGGGGTCCGTCAAAGCCCCGGAGAGGTCCCCAATGCTCTCCCTCGAACTAAACATACCATGCTTTTAAACGATGAGGAACCAAGTTGGTAAGCTCCTCGTCGACCCAAACGGCCGTCGTATACTTCTCGTACGTCGTATCTGTCCCCGGTGCTACATACTCAACCACCTCTACGTCTTGATCTATCGGGACATCAAAACGTAATATCCAAGTGTCCATACTAGGGGCCTGAAAAGGGTAAGCAACAACACATGAGTATAACTCAATAAGTAAATCCTCTAAGCCCAGTATAGGAGGATACCTCACTTCGGAAATACGAACAGTAACGTCAACCTCTTGGCATGTCAAAACGCAATCAAATAATCACACGCAAATACTTACCTCCCGTCGGCATATACAATTCACACGAATAATCACACGCGAAGCCCGCTTCCAATTGGCATGCGACAATTGCACATAGTAATCAATAACACTTCATATCACATATTCATACCCAATGCAACCACACGTGTTTCGATTATTACAACCGCTTAGGGCCACGACCAACACTCACGTCGGTGGTCATCCAGTGTAACCGAACATCGTCCCGCCCCATCGGGCACGGTAACGTCTTGACCTCACTCGAAGACGGCATTCAATAAAGGGCATCATTTTGAACTCTATCACAAACGACAACCGAAATCCATCGGACATCCAAAATCCATCGGGCATCGTCCTCCGCAATCATACGGATACGAAACTATTTATGTGATCACGTAAGCATATCAAGCACTCAAGCCACTTATTATCTTTCACTTAGGCTAATGCAAGAGTGTTTCATGCTTATACGGTTATAACATCTAAAACCTCGCATATATAAGATGCACGAACATCGAAAGCATTTCATTAGCAACCATACAAAATTAATACATGGGTTTCATCTTCCTAGAACAAGCAAAACAAAACATGACAAGCATTATCATCACCCAAAGATGGTTCTAACTGACCTTCCATACCTACACAATCCATCCTTAACTATTCCTAGCCAAGGATAGCCATACACATGATAGAACAAGCTCAAACAAGACTAAACCTAAGTCTAACATGCATAGAATAACGTCCTATCCACGGATTAGAAGAACTACTTTCAAAATTAATTGGATTACAGACGAAGATGGACGAACGGCTGTGGCGTTGAGCGGAAGACACAGCGGCGGCAACGAACAGACGGCGCAGCTGCGGTGAGGCAGTAGCGATGAGGCGACAAGCAGTGGCACGGCGAACGGTTGAACAGTGTGGCGATAGTGAGTGGTTTGGCAGACGGCGTGGCGACGGTGATGAGCGATGACACGGAGGTGCGGACGGCGCGGCGAGGGACGCGATGGCAATCGGTGGCGATGAGCGAACGGCGGCAAAGATGGCATGGCACAGTGGTGAGCAGCCTGGCGGCGGCGCGGCGGCGGACGGCGGCGAGAAGGGCGTAAGAGAGAGAGTGAGGGAGAGAAAGAGAGAAATGAGAGTTAACGAGAAAGTGGAATGAGAGAAGTGAGAAGGGTTTCCCCTTAAGTGATAAGACTCCAATAATGCAAGTGCATTAATGACCCAACCACCAAGCCTAGCCTAACTCCTTAATTTGCTCCCAACCAAGCAACTTCATGGACAAAGCCATCTTGGAAGTCTTCTTCAACAAGCCTCTCCCTTGGACAATTATGGCTAACAAAGTAGGTTCAAGTACTTAGTTATGGACTAATTAGGAAAACCAAACTAGAAACCAACCAAGTTGATCTCTTCCCCCTCTTCCCTAAAGTGGAGCTCAAACTATTCAAAACAAAACCCAATTTGGTCTTTCCCTAAACAAAGCTTCTAGAAGTTGCATTAAAAGCTAAACTATAGGTTAATAAACATAGAACACTAATCATGCACAAAGCACATTAATGTGCAATCATCCAAAAATCAACCAAGGTCAAATGTGGCAAGATGGGCTTTACCCTCTTGATTAACGCCTAATCGAGGCCGAATAAGTCCAATGATACGTAATTAAGTGACGTCTGATTGAGGATCATCCACTTCACATATTCCCACTTAGGCCGTGGGTCAAGTATACAAGCAATGAACAAAGTAAGATTGATGTTGTTCACATTGCCAAAATACTTATTGAATTTAATTTTCATTCTCTTAGCCATTTCCTGCAAACTCTAGTCCCTATTCTCACAATATCTATCAATCATTATATAAATCTCATACACATCTTTTGCCATACCATTACTAGTGACATAAGAAGAACCCGAAACTTTTAAAGTCGTATAAAAAAACATCTTCAGGAAAGGAAAAAAGTGACGGGCATACTCCCAATCATTACTAGTGAGAAACCCTTTCGCCTTGGAAAGCTTTTCAACAAATTTGCTATCTCAAAATTCCAACGAGCTAAAAGTTATTTGAAACTTCAAAGCTGCTTCTAACATCATATATGTCGAGTTCCAACGAGTCTCGACATCTAAACATACAAGACTTTTGGACTCAATTTCACTAGTTCAATACCGCCTTTAAACCGTCTTAGCCTCGCAGGAGAAGACCTCACATAACGCACATTCGAACATATTCTAACAATGGAATCATTTATGTCTTTCAACCCCTCTCTCACAATCAAACTCAATATATGAGCACAACATCTCATGTGGATTAGCTCACTTCTCAATACCAGAGAATTCCAAGAGTTAAGTCTCTTTTTCAAATATTGAATTCCTAAGTCATTTGAGCTAGCATTATCCACAGTAATAGAAAAAACGCTCTGAATCCCCCAATCAATCAAGCATTTCTCAACCGCTTTTCCTATTATCTAGGCAGAATGACCCGGGATCTGACGAAAATTTAATATTTTCTTGTGCAACTTCCAATTAGCATCAACAAAATGAGGAATGAAACACATATAGCTCAAATTTTGACAAAAAGTATATGTGTCTGTTGTAAGACACTCTTGGAGATGTCTTCGAGAAATATTTCTTCAATTTACTTCTTTCATCCATGTATAAATCATAACATTTGCGCTTCAAAGTGTTGCGCAACAGGATTAAGAAATTTGGTTGGATTTTATTAACAAATCGCCGAAATCCGTCATGCTCTACCAACTTGAAAGGCAATATATCAAGAATAAAACATGATCGCTAATTCATTTCCACTATCATCTTAGTCAAACATATAAGAATTTCTTACATCTATCTAAATGACGACATATCGAACTGATCCCTTGACCACTAGAACAGCTAATATGGGCTTCATAATACATACATTCAGCCTTTTCTTGATCAGGAATATGTTTAAAGTGTTTCCACACTACAGATCTCATCTTTCTTTCTGTGACACTAGTAGCACTCACTTCAGACATCTAGCAATCCTTCTATCTATGACACTTAGAACCTGCAAAGTATTATTATAATCAGAAATGTAGTCCTCAACATATTCTTAACTAAATACAAATGGTAAGCGTTTCACTATATTGGTAGAAACTATATCAATCATCTTTTCTCTTCGTGCTTCAGACTCAGCAAAAAAAAACATGAAGATTCTCAATTTCAAGCTCGAAATATTATTTATCATGCTCAACTTCAGTCTCAAGCGCATGTACACATGTCAATGCAGGACTACATAACCCAAAACTCAATTTTGATTACATTCTGCATCAGCCTCCCACAAAAGATAAATATTAAATTCCTGCACCAGTCATTTTAACTGATACGAACCTTAGAAAAGGTGGAAAATAATTCTAACTAGAGAAACGGATTTAAACGAGAGAAATCGCATCTAGGTCTTTAGTTTTGCTAGAGAAGTGAACTGACATGTCCAGAGAGTATGCCTTGATTCAAATCTTTTCAGGGTTTACTCCTTAGCTCCTAGATGTTCAAAAACCCATTATGCAGATTACTTTCGTTCTTCTTCCTTGAACTTTAGCCATCGATGATTGACGATACCAAGAAATGAGCATAATTAAGAGAAAGCAAAGCAATTTATGAATTTGAATTCCAGAACAACTGCCGGTACCAACAACTTCTACTCATAAATAGAGAATACACCAACTAAAATGTATATCCTGACAAATGCAAAAACTTCTTTTTCTTTTCCTTATATAAACATACCTGCAGGCAATTGGAATTTGGCTTCCCGAGATCACTACCATCAGTTTTGATCGCGCATCTCAATCCGCTATTTGCCACAACTAAATCATCAGCTTAGAGTGTCAACATCCAGATAACATTTTCTCGGACCAAGAGAAAAAAAACCATTTTTTCCCCGAAAGAAGGGGAAAACGAAAGACCCAACCAAACATAAGAGACCTGTATGAGACCAATTCGAAAAGCCGCTCACACTAGCAGAAAACACAAACCTCATATGAACATTGAAACGATGAAACAGAACAAGACAACACCAGAATCGTTGATATGCATTCCTAGCACTAACCCAGAAGAAGAGAAGCAAAGGAGGACAATCGGAAAAGCTCCCAATCATGAGCTGAATGAACCCACAAAGAGAGACCGGAAGTGAATAGAAGGAGCTCGAATTGAATATGTGTTCTTTGGGAGATTAAACTGGATTTGTGCAAGAGATAGAAGAGAGAGTGATTCAACTAAAAACACAACAAAGTATACGCAAGCAAGAGTGAGCTTAGAGAGAGAGTGTGACGATGCCGACTCGAGCCGTGACGTCCCAGGCTGTCATAAAAACTATGTTGCTTAATTATCTGATTTGATTAAAAACGCAAGCCGAAGACGAAAATGAAAATCAGAGATAACAGAAGAAACATAACAGACAGCTCTTATTTATTTTTTTCTTTAGGCGATTAGTATATTTACATCACAAAAGAAATAACAACTGGGAAAGAAATAATCTAGTTTACTCCTTCTACTGGCTACAAAACGTCACATCCGCGCCTGTCTTAAAGCTACCATATAAATGCCCTAAGAGACTACCTGCCAGCGATCATGATACAGCTCAAACAAAACGGGGCGGCTGCATCAACACCTGGCTTGATCAACCACCAGCCGCGAGCCTCCTTACACTCTCACAAGAGAAGGGGATGGATCCAAAGAGGTGACCACCTAGGCGAAAATAGTTTGATATGAAACGAAACGGCATCCGTCCTAAGGGAATAAAGCAATCGACCCAGACAATGGATGAGTGGTGTTCCCACACCACTCCAGGTACGAGGGATTGGGACGCTCAACGAACGATTCCTCGATATCTAGTACCGAACTATATGTGGAGATAGGTCAAGTGGGTGGATGGAACACTATGCTAACGGTCTAAAAAACATGAAAAGCAATAACAATGAGATAAACTCAGCAAGTAAATCAAGCTATAACTATTCTATTCAAACAATTATATCACGATTGAAGAGTCTACCATAAGATTATCGATTTCCATCGTGATATGAATAATGATAATATGAATATGAGAATGCATATGATATGCCCATGAATTCCTCGTGAATGTCACTTTCATTCGTAACCATCGATTTTAAAAATCGATCTTTTGCAGACCACATAGCAGCAGGCGTCTCGCTCCTACTCTGAGGTTATGCGACTTACTTGCGCATCTATCACCGAGACCACATGACACGGCCTC